TAGTAATTGTTGTCAAAAGCAAAACGAATGAAGAATGACAAGTTATGTCAGTCGGAACAATGGTGTTAAGGGTTGTTCGACTGGATATTGTTAATGATTAGTAAGATGCCTTTTGTCATGCGTGTAGATGTAATCACACGTGACAAACGACAAAATCATGGTGTTATTTTTGCGTTATTTCTTTCCTATTTTTTTTCCTTGCTTATTACCTATTGTGTTTTTCTCGCTCTTTATTTGCTTATAACTTCTTATTTTTTGTGTTTACTTGTTTATAAAGCTAAAACAAATTACTATCCTAGACTCGGCCCTCATGGTAATGGTACAAATGCATTTGTCACCTGTGTGATCATTCCGCATGCTTCGAAGTGAAAATTTGTGAGAGACAGATTATACTGACGTCCTTACTTTTTTTCTTTTTTTCTTTTTTTTTTGTCCAGGGCCGACAATGAGTTGAGCAGTCCGCCTGGCCTGATCAGGGGGCCTAATTACAAAAAATTAGGATTTCAGCCACAACATGATCGGGTTTATGGTTGTGACCCTGGCACCAGATCATGCCTAGCCCAAGCCAGTTCCATGGGGAAATAGGGCTCGGGCTGGGCTTAGCCCGGCCTGCTGCCAGCTAATTGTGAAAAAGATATTAAAAAGCATCATATGAGGATGATTGATTAATACGTCTTTGTTTCGACTCGGAATGATAGGGAGAGAGAGTTTGCCGATTGTTATTACATTAGAGAGAGTTTGACAAGGAATCAGATGTTCGACATTTATTCAACTGTGTAGGTTGGAATGTTGTCAGCAAGTTTCCACTTAAAACATGATCTTTTTAAGAAAAGTTTGGAGTTCTTAAAATCGGTTAACAATTCTAAGTTTTTCAAAAGATCTTCAAAAAATCATGCTGTTTTTATGTTGCCGATATAAATATTTATTTTAGCTTGTTTTCAAAAAAACTTTTCAAAAGAACTTATTCCCTATAACTTTATTTCTTCATTGATTTAATATTTTTCGATTTGGGTTTAGAGATATGAACACTTAAATTGGAAGTAAATTAGATATCTTGATTTAATAAAAACTTCCATTAAAAATTTTCACCAATATGTTCCCTTAAAAAATGCAATATATTTTCCAAAAATAATTCATCAAAACAACGCTATATCTCAAAATAATAGTTGGAGTTAGATAAATAGTAACCCAATAAAAATTCTTTTTTTCCCCTCTAAACATATAGTATCATTATAAAGAGATAGAGAGAGATTCAATGACAACTAAAGATTTAGGCAACTAAGAATTCATGATGAAAATATTTGGATTTGTTTAAGAATTTTGTTTTTGTTTTTTTTTTATACAAAAATTTCATTAATTTCACCTTTTCAACTTTTTTCATTTCATTAGTATATACAACATAACAATTTGGATCGACCACTATTTTAAATTTTTGGATTTTTGTGCTTTAGTTAATAACAATCCTATATTAAAGGCAATTTTTATTTTTTTCTTCCAATAATAATCCCATATATGGGTTCCATTCTTGTTATTTGCTAATGTAGTTCTTGTGTTTAATATTGTTGTTGTATTGTATGCTCCAAATAAATCTATCTTACGTTCTGTGTTGTGAACAGACTAAACATTGTTGCTGTATTAATTATAAAGTTTGGGAAAAAATTAGTCAAATATGACTCTAATGATATTAGGTAAGGACATAAAAAGTATGGTTCAATCGATTTAATGTATCCATGTAATAACCGCAGCTCAAAATCTTATATTGTGATATTTTTGTATATAGTTAATATATTCAATTTCTAAGTTATTTTGCTAGCAAATGTTCAATCTGTTCTTGGTTTTGGAATCTTAAATAAACGAGAGTATTCTGGTAATTTGGCCAATTAGTTTAACCATTTTAAGGATTTTTTGCCTTTTCTCTTAGAAGAATGATAAAATTATGTTGTGATCTTTTTAACAGGATACTAAAAGCCCATTTAATGTTTAATGCACCAAAAAAAAATTTTACATTCATGAATCCAAATTCAGGGCGTGGAGAAGGTGCCTACATATAACATAATTGTCTAATAAAAGAGAAAAATTTAGTAGCTCCAGCCTCCAAATAGTAAGACTATTTAATTTACCATGAAATTAGCCATCATATTATTAAAAAATTAATAGCTCCAAATAGTAAGACTATTTAAAGATTACCCCCCTTTTACCAAGAAATTAGCCATCATATTATTACCTTATTTATATGCGAGTCCAATTAGTATGGCCTTCTTTTAGTTCACGAGTACCAAAAGAAGGAAAACCTCCCTTTTTTAGGAGAGAGGTCCCTACCTTTTTAGGGGAGAGGTCCTTATCCTAAGTAGGAATTGAGCTTAAAATGTAGTGTTGCAAATCGTCAAGCGCTAACTAATTAAGTCTGGGCTCGTTTTTTGAAAAACCTCTCTTTATCGACCACCAATCATCAAGCGAAATCCCACAATGAAGTTCTTAATAAATTTATAAAGATCGAATTGAACTTGTCGGTCCAACTGATTGGATGGCCGACTCGTGCTTTAGTTGGTCTAATTTAAAATAAAAATTGTATTTTGTAAAAAATAGTCAAAGTCAAAGTCAATGCTTGAGTGAGTGGTTTTAACCAAGTCGACTGGCCAAAAAAAAGTTGGCATATTTATTTTTAATATATTACATGTTATATATATATATATATATATATATTATTTTTATTTTATTTTATTTTTCTTTTTAAAATCCAATTCCACAAATTTAATTGATGGCCGAATCAAGCTTTAAATGTTCAATGGGCAGTTCTGTCTCATAATTTGTAGGGCTGGTAACCGGGTTGCGCAGCTTGGTCCGCCCTGGTTGGCCCTACGGTGAAAATTAGGGTTTGGGCTACAAATGTGCCCCAAGGGCCAGACCAACATGGCTCAAGGCCGGGGCCTTTGTCCCTAGCTAGGACCTCTTTATTCCTTAATTTTTTATTTTTAGTTTTTAGGTCTATTACGCCCTCCCCAACTTGGCTAGGGCTAGCAATAAGTCAGGCCACCTCTAGCCGTAGCCCGCTCTATTCCCTTGAGGACCGGTCCAAGCCCAAGTCTGGCCCTATCATGGTCAGGCCACACCGAGTAAAATTAAAAGAAAACAATAAAAAAGCGATGAAAAAATAAAGATGGAGTGGGGCTTGTCTTGACTTGACGTCGGCCCAGTCATCGGGCTACATTTTGTAACCCAAGCCCTAGTTTGTTTTAAGGCCAAGCTGGCCCACCTGCCCATGGCCACCCCTACTCTTTACCATGCTTGGACCGGCCCTAAACTAGGGCCTGGCTGGCAGGTAGCTCTTTAAGTAGTGTGTTTTATTCAAATTTCTTTCTCTTGTCCAGAGAGATTTTTTAGCACTGGGAGATATATGTTAGGGATTATATAAAGGGTGTGGTTCCTATAAGGTTGCAACCCTTTAACAATCGAATTAAGGTGCACCTTCAAAGTTTATTGTATGTAATTTTGGTGTAAATAATTTTTAGAATAGTTGAAGATTTATTTTATATCTAATAATAAAAATTTTAAACTCCAAAAATAGTTAAAATCTAGTAGATTTATTAACATATAAAAATCTAAAAAATGATCAGTCTAGATGTATTATTTTTAGGACTCAAAATATTTTTAGTTTTATTCATATTCATACGTCTCGATGTGGAGATGATCAATTAAATGATTTTTCACATTTTTTTTTTCCCAATGGATTTTTTGAGGTGCAAACTTTAATTCTATATTTTAAGGTTGCAACCCATCTTTAATTCTATATTTTAAAGTTCCCGTTTTTTTCTTTCTTTTTTTTTTTTTTTTTTTTTTAGGACTAACTTACTTTCATTAATAAAGAGCAAAGGCTCCGAGTTATGTTTTGTTACAAAGAGAGTAACAAAGAGAAAAAAAAGAAGGGGGGCAAAGAAAATAACAAGAGTAGAGGGAAGGGAAGAGAGGGGTTTAACTACGGGCCGAGCTAAAGCATCCCACAACACTATTTTTTTTGTGATTAATATGGCAGAATTGGACCTCTTTTCCTATAATTGCCAAAAAGATTTCATCCATAATAGAGATCCAACGCCACTAGATAGAGCTAGGATATTTATACCATTTAATAACATTGGCAGAGTCACCCTCGATGATAATCTACCTCGGATCCACAGATAGCCTTATCACTCCTTTCTTAACTGCCTTAAGCTCGGCTTCATTTATGTCACGGAAAAACAGTGGGCTATTGTAGGAAGAAACAGCATCTCCAAGGTGATTTGCCAAAATCTCACAAAAACTTGCCTCCCTAACATGAGATCTTAGACTGCCATAAAAATTTAATATCAACCTTATATAAAGTTTTCCTTTATATAAGGTTGTAACCTTATATAAACTTTCTCTTTATATAAATGGAATTTCTATATAACCGTATCATTTATGAGGGCAAATTTAGAGAAATTTGTAATTGGGCAAATCTTGGGAGGAGAGAGAGGAAAAGAGATTTCAATAAATAGAAATAAATTACCTGCTTATATTTGGATAGTTGTGCAGAGAACCTAGCACTCGGCATTAGCAAGATTGCATGTTAGAGAGAGAAAGAGGGGAGAGAGAGAGCCTTGTAGAGAGAGAAAGAGGGAGAGGAAGTGAGGGGGGAGAGACACACTAGGCATTAATTTTATAGAGAGAGACAGAGAGGAGAGACCATAGTGGTGCATGCAAGAGAGAGAAAGAGGAGAGATAGATTTTAGAGAGAGAAATAAGTGAGAGAAATTTTAGAGAGAGAAACTCGGCATGGTTTTATTACAGAATGAGAAAAGCCCGTAAAACACCGGGCATGTAAGAATTGTTTAGAGAGAAAACGAATATATGCCCATGTTTAGCAAATTTAACAAACACAAAAAGAAGAAAGCAAGTGAATTGTAAAGAAATTTTTTTAAAATAATTTTTAGAGAGAGAAAAAATGGTATTTGTACCATGTATGGCAACGTTAACAAAAGTGAAAAAACAAAAGAAAGGGAAGGACCATGCGGTGGCGCAGTAGGAGCCCTCTGCAACGTCAGATATCGACTGTTTATCGAATTTTATATTCCATTTACCGTTTAATTTAATCCCCTCCCCCTCCCCCTCTCCTCTCATTCTCGCCTCCTCTTTCTATCTCTAGCCTGCTCTCTCTAGCCTTCTCTCTCATCAAAGCGCCTTGTGTCGCTTGCTTCGATCCAAGCCTCCCCCATTTTGTCTCTCTAAAGCCATCCATGAAATCATCGCAGGTTTTTCCCCTTTCCTCTGGTGTCTTCTCTGGTTTTTTTTGTTGATGTTTCTTAGGGTTTCTTTTTGCCTTAATCAGTTGAAACTATTGGATAATTCGGTGCAAAATCGCTTCTTTTTGGCTGAAATTGGTCAAAAATGGCGGCTTTGTGATGTTCATTGCCGAGAGACTGAATTTTGCTTCTTGTGAATGTGTTTTAATGGTTGCTTATGTCTTTGTTAATCTATTTCTCTCTCTCGATACCTTTTTTCTCTCTATCATAGATAAATAATCAATTGGGACTGATACAGGGTACCCCATTTTCTTTTTCTTGTCCATTTTCTCTTGTTTTGCCATTCATAATGCATGTGAATAGGGCTGAATTCGTTAATGGCTTGCCTTTTTTGAAGCTTTATTTTGGCTTGAAAACTAGGCTAAATCAGGGTTTCTGAATTCTCATACTTGAATCTTGTTTTGGTGTTTTCTGGGTTCAGTCGTTGGAGATCGAGATCACATGCTAAAATCTTGACTGGTTTTCTCTTGATACTGATCGTTTTGAAAGGTTGATTTTTAGGGTTTTGAATCAAATTTATTTCTTCATTATAATCTTTAGTGTATCCAATGTTCAATATTCAGTAGCTATAATAGTAAATTGAATTGTCTGCTCTGTTTTTTGCTGGATCCTCCATGTTTGATTTGATTTATTATTGGTTTTATTGGTAGGATGTAGTTCTACTAATTATCCTATTTTTGTCAATTGATTGTTCTATCCATGGAGATTGGCTAATTAGGTTATGTTTGCTTTTTATCCATCTCTACTTCTGCTGTTGTTTTGAACGTTTTTGCTCTTAGTGCCCTGTCGTAGAATGTTATCACTGAGGATTTGTTTAGTTTAGAACATCTTAAAGCCATAATCACACAACAAATTTTTTGGAAATGACTTAGAACATGACTACCCGAAAGTCATTCATTATGAGCTATAAATTAATACAAATGACAATAGAGTGAGAACTATTTTTGAAATGTTATGTAGAAACCCCAACAAAAAAAACTGATGTTATACAAGAAGAAGAATGTTATAAATTGACCAAAAAGGACTCATGATGAAGATGTAGTAAACAAGAAGGGATTCCACAAAGAATATCTATGGTTTGGTGTTTCTTGAAATATCAAAGCTCTGAAAGAGTTAAATGAACTTTCAATTTCTGCGTCATGTGACACCATTGAAAGAATGAAAAATCAGATCTATTTTGTCATGAAAGTTGATCATTTGCATCTAGCTCTTTATAATCAATGATTTTTTTCCAAGTTGAATACCATTAAGGTGATGTCCCACAATATTATATTTTTGCATTGCTGTCTTTTCATTAATTTTATTAACTGTGCTTCTGTTGATACAATTAAACCTTTATACTTTCCAATTGTGAAAATATGTGCAGGTTTATTGACCTTGTATCAAGGCATATTCTTTTCATTTTGTGGAGGCAAACGGGGGATCCCATTATGCACAGATTGAGGTCCAATAGAAAGAGAAATCAGGATCTTGAGTTAAGATTAGGGCCTTCAACTTTGCCCAAAAGGAGCACAATGGCCACTAGGTGCTCTTTGAGCTTTCCTAATCCAATCACCATCGAGGATGACGACGATGATGAAATCCAGATATCCACTTCTAGGGCTTTTGCCGAGGTATGTATCGTGGCAGTTTCAATTTTTCATCTTTTGTGCACACATGTGATCTCCTCTACTCAATCTTCGTACAGTACGATATTACTCATGGTTGTAGTAATTCATATATTGAATGTATTGCAGCACATATGAGGTGTAAATATCTAGCCACTGAATCCAAGGTTTAAGTCTAATGTATAAGTGGTTCTTTGAAGTCTTTTTCCTATTTTCTTGTTTTCTTCTGTTGTGACATGTTACTTTGAAATTGTTTCTAGAGAACTTTTACTGGGAGTCTTCATTTCATTTGGCTTAATCTCTGTTCTATGAGTGCATTTTGCACAGGCAAGGGGTGTATCACTTCATGGGGCATCATGGGGCACAATCATTACAGATGAAGATTTAGAATTGCGTCTTGGATTTGGAGGTGAGTTTACTTGTAATCGATGGTTTTGTGTGCTATAATTCGGAAGTTGTCATTAGCTAAAACTGTAGGTGATGGTTCCACGTATATCCACCTATCTCTCATCGTTCATCCATATCTATATATTTGATCTCTATCTATCTACACTTGCATGCATATCTCTCTACCTATCTACCGTTCACGTTATCTAGGTACATGTATGAGCAGTGTAGAAAAATTCAGGCTTGGGCTTTGATTTGCCGGGTTCTTAGGCCCTAGTCAGAGAGGCCGACTCAGTCGAATCGGACCACCCGATTAGAACAATTCCTCAATTTAAAACCCATACAATTTAAGAACTGGGATCACACTCCCATTTTTTGGTGTTAGTCATCAGGACCCAGCTCCCAAATGGGTCCAAGTGACTAGGGTGGACTGAGGCTGTCCGAGGGAGTTCTTAATCACTGTGTATGAGTGGTATATTTATTTATGCTTCAGCTCCTTACTCAAACAAGTTTTTTGCGATTCCAAGGTTAACTAGGGCAACCAAATGTCTGCTGTGGAATTTTTAGGTTCTCAAACTTCAGGGTTTGATGGTCTCTTTATATGTAATATGGAAAGGTTTATATCGCTCTTTTTAATGGATGAGAATGGATGTGCTTCAGTGTTCCTCAATAATTGTTGGTTTTGATCTTGGGACGGCAACTGCACTGTTATACGACCATTTATTGGCTAGGATCCTGTCAGTTATGTTCAATCACTTGGATCCATGTATCTTTCACATGGAAGTAGTTTAAAAATTGAACTCAATTAAACACAAAATGTGCCTTATGATGAATTTCATCTGCAATGTTTCTGCCATTGTCATTAGAAATCCTTTATGTTATTTTGGTGCTTACAAAGAATTTACATATTGTGGCTGATTATGTTAAGCGTTTGCCATTGATGGTAGAGAGGATTAAAACTGTAGAACTCATGGTTTCATTTTACTTATGATTGTTACCACTATGATTAATCAACTGTTTCAATTAAACCAACATAGTATACACATAATTGAGCTTTATGGCACGTTTGGTTCGTGTGAAAATATTTTCCAGAAAACATTTTCACATGATAAATTCTCTCATGTGGTTAAGTGAGGGAATATTTTACATCAATTATTTGCCAATTGGTGTGAAAAGATTCACTAAGACCAATTGATATGAAAATATTCTCACACCTAACTACATAAGGGAATTTTTCACATGAAAATATTTTCTAGAAAACATTTTCACGTAAACCATATGTGCCCTTAAGGTGACAAAACAAACCAAACATGGATATGGTGACATATTGCCTTCGCTTTTTTTTGGGTACTAATGAGCCTGTGTTGCTTAAAAAAAAAAAAAGACTAAGAAATGCCCAATTCTAGAGGCTTAAAACCTTATTTTCTGTGCTTATTGTTTAAGACAAGTTACACAGGAGATTTGTTTGTAAAAAATTGCTTGTAATGCTCTGCCTTCAGTAGTAGATTATTTAAGATACTGCTACTAAAGTCACCATTTATCATGTTCTTGAAGAGAACTCTAAAGAAATAGCATTGTATCAATAGCTTGGAAATCTTCCTAATAATCTTTTCGTAAATGTGATGCTTATCATTTTTTCTTTCCCATTTTTTGAAATGGAAAATTTTCTATGTTTTGACAAATTCTGTTTCTTGAGACTTTGGCAGGACACAGTGGTTACAGTGGTAATCCACCTCGTGCAATTAGTATTTGTGATGATGGAGAAGAGGACGATTTGAGATGTGTCAAGGTAAGCAGTAGATGTTCTCCACTGCATATGTTTTATTAAACTGACCACGATCTAGCTCTGTATAGGAAACTTTTTGCATTCTTTGGTGGATAATTTAATCAATTATTGTTCGATAGTGATCGTATTATAGATTATTTATTCTAAGCATTTTTGTTTGCTACGGTTTGAAAAATTGAAATGGATTAGAAAAAGTACATAGTAGTCCATTTTTAAGGCTCAAAATATGTTTTTATTTTTCAGATTCGTGATCATGGTGGCCAGGATGTTAGGCCTGTAAAATTTTTGGATCCAAAATCCAAATCCCCCTACAAGATGGATTTGGTAGTGGTGGACTCACTGTAGTAAGTGCGTCCTTGGATGCACCTAACCCTACTCTTTATCCAAAGAAAAGTTATACCTCACTATCAATCTATCAAGTTGGCATGTCCTTTCGGATTATATGTTGTTGTGCATTTAGTCTTGTCTACCATACTATTTTTAACATGATTGCGATCAGTTGATGTGCGGTGCTTTAATTGTCATGAGTTGGTGTGCGGTGCTTTGACCAGATCTTGTGCTGGTCGTGGTACGTTAGGATGAAATATGGTCTCACGTACGTTTTAATTGGCATGTCCTGGTGAAGACCATTGTAACCACTTGGATACATTTTGATGGTAGAATGCAACGAGGCGAAGGGCATGAGTATGGCAATGCCCTAGAGTTGGCAGTTGAACTCTTTGCTGGAGGGGTTGTCAGTAAAGAAGCATTGTCAACTACTCTGGGTTAAGTGCTATTTGTGTACATCTGTTTGTTTCAACTTCGATTCAAATTGCTGTACACTTTGTTACACGTACTGATGAACTAGTTGTCAAGTAGGAAAAAACAAAAGGATTGCTACAATAGAGGTTTGATGTGAATATAATTAAGGGCCTAAATTAAGTAGAAGTAACACCTCTTATATTAGTACTATACAGTCAAAATTAAGTAGAACCTTTTTTATTTTTTAAAATCAACTAGAATATTTTCTTGGAAACTAGTTTGACTAGACCATAAACTTCAGCCTGTCTCCATTGGGGGCTTCATTTCATGTCAACCGATATAAGTTTCCCGAGGATTAGAAACCTGTTTATCATCACAGGATGGATTCCTAGCTGTTGAGGAACTCTGGTCAAATAGTATTTGGAGTGCATTTGCATAATCAAAGTGCATTTTGGTATCTTTTTTTTTTTTCCTTGGCTTAATCTGAGGGTAAGCTGGGCTATGGCACATGCATGGAGCTCTAGATTACGGTTCAGCCCCCCTGATAAATCAAGTTATGCTCTTATCGTCTTCTTCACATTGCTGTGGCAGCCTTTTGATTCAAGTAGGTTTAATGCACAATTGTTGTCTTATGATTTGAGTATAAATTACGACTGAGATGTCCTTGTTGAAGTGATCAATGTAGATTATATTGATGAAATGTATTTTCTATGTTGCCTCGTTGCTCTTTCTTTTGATTTTCCCTATAATACTTCATCTTAATATCTAATCTTTGCCCCATTTTTAATGCAATACCTTTGCCACTGAATATTCATTTTCTTTCTGGATAGCATGCACTGCTCTCTTGCCCTTGCATTATTTGAAGAGAGAGACAATGACTCAGATTTGAGTCTTATAATCATATCTTATAATTCTCTTGCATATTGTACTTTCTATGTAATTAGAAGAAGAAAGGCGGGCTGGCATCCACCAGTGTGGAGGTGAAACTAACATGTGCAATATGCATGGACACAATGAAGGAGGAGACTTCAACTGTATGTGGCCACCTCTTTTGCAAGCCTTGCATAACAAGTGCCATCCAAGCCCAAAAAAAATGCCCTCAATGTCGCCGAAAACTCTCTAACAACAACATCCATCGCATCTATCTCCCAGGCGCAAACTCTTGACCCCCCTCAACTGATTATTTAGCATGTCTGCCTTGTGCCGCTAAAATTTGGCAGCATTTCTCGCACGAGCTTTGGGAATTGAAAAAGCCTCTAATTTTGGATGTTGGATCCATTAGTCAACACAGCCTTCGGTGAAGGTGTTTTAGTAAAAGCAACGAGGGGGATAGATGTTATAATTAATCTTTTATTATGGAAATTTGTATGTGGCTTATCATATCGTTGTTAATCTATTTTTTTTTTGTACCCTGGTCAGTGGATGCAATTGGGTAATTAGTATGTGAATCCCTTGCCCTTTTTGTTTTTCTGCATAGTGATGTAGCTTAACTTTTAGTTTGTTTGTCCTAAAAGAGTTGTGTTTCATATCTCATTGTTCTCAAATTGGCTTTTAGTTTTGCCTTTGAAAAAGCTTTTATCCTTCGATCATGGTTAAATTTGTTGAGTAAGTTATGGATTGTATAGGATGAAAGCTAATATTTTATGTGATTGTATACCATGAAACAATTACTTTTGGGACGTAAATGTTACAAATGCCCCCAATCTGTCAGATGTGAAATCACATAGTTGGGGTGGAATTATTTCTAAGAGGAAAATTTCTCATGCTTTAGGTATGATTAATGATAATATCACAAATGATTGATTCAACATTTGATGACCTATTATGAGGTATGCACTTTCCCATGAGTTATGATCTTGGCCGTGATTCACTGACAGTTGAGAAGACAAGACCAACCCCAAGCTTTGATGGGTTGGAATCCAATTTACTTCAAAATATACAGGGTAAGGGTGTTGACATGGCATGCAGACCTTGTGCTGTTCATGTAAATGGATAGTACAAGATGTGCTAGCATCATGTCCGTGCTGGCACATCTTGCACCGTCTGTTTTTATTGAAAGAGTGCAAAGGATTCCAGTTGCATCTGCAGCTGCACAAAAACATTTCCCAAATATATGCTTGCAAATATTTAAGGGCCCGGTTTCTATGCTGTCAAGCCCGTGTATGTAGAAATGCGGGCTTATTAATAAATCTATTTTTGAGATGGATTTTTGGACTTAGTTTTTAAGGACATGTAATCTCATGAATATGAAAAAATAAGTAAATTTTAAAAATTAAAAATAATAATTCTAGTAAGAAAATATATGAACCTTTAGTTTCCATTATTTTTAGATGGAAAACCGACTTGCATCCGATGGGTGCTTTACACTTTTTAGGCTGCATGTGGAGTCATGCGGTCCAGCCAGCATGGGACAATTTTCCAAGATTTAATGATCTAATAAGTACCATTAAACAAGTAGGAAATCTTGCAAATGCCATGTTGATCTTAGCCTTTACTCACCAAAAAGACAAGATGCCATATGTTCATGTCCCATGCTCTTTTTATTGGAATCTTATAGACGCATATATGAAATCTCCTTGTGGTGTATAGCATATCATCCCATCCCTTTCCTCGTATTAGTATGTACTTGGTCTAGGATGATTCCTGTTCTATTAGATTCTTGTGTTGAGCTTATATACCCTACTACATGGGACCCCAAGTTTTGATGCTTTGCAACCCAACAGTTTACTCCATGATATGTGTACAAAGAAAAGTTTTGATGCTTTGCAACCCAACAGTTTACTCCATGATATGTGTACAAAGAAAAAGAAATGTTGATTAAAAGTGGTATCTAGCAACTATCATAAGTATCAACTTATGAAATTGGACAAAAAGAACTTGTCCATAACATGAAAAAGTGGTAAGCACACTATAATTAGCAATTTCTTAGTTGGCCATTCCTAGGTCACCTCTATCAGTGCCATTGAATTTCAAAGTCAACATATGATCCAAAAGATGTCATTGCATAATGTGCATGTGGACAGTCAGGTTGTTCATGTAACTCTTTTTCTTCAATGTTCTTGGAAGATTCAATGACTTGCCAAATGTTGAACTACAAGCTATGGTAAATCACAAGGTAGGGAGTAGGACCAGAGGAAGAAGAAGTAGGAAGTCGGATGGAGTTAGATGCAAGAGGAAGTAACACGAAGAGGCTGCAAGAAGGGAGGAAAGAGAAAGAAGTAGGAGTTATGAGGAGGTTTGGAGAAACAATGTAAAACTAAGGTCTGACAAGTTCAGAAAAATCTCTAGTCGAATTACCAATTAATTGGGTAAACGCTATGATGATGATGATGAAGTTAAGAAAAAAATCTAGCAAGTAGAGGTGGCCATCCTAATCTCATGTATGAATGGGTGTATTCTAGGTCTATCAGAGGCCTTTCTCAGGAACAGGAAATGTAAAAAAAAGCTGTTCAGTGGCAGAAATACAATATGTTATACTAAGAAGGTAGGAGACTGAATAATGATCAATGTGGGGTAAGAAATCAATAGTGAGATTGCCCACCTCATGCTAATATTGATGGGAATCAGTGCTGGGTCACTGCTACTGGGAAGACAAAAACGGCAGTCATATGTAAATCTTTACCCTGTAGGTGAGTCTTTCTTCGTTCCGAAATCTAAACCAGAGGTGCGAAGTGTTACGAGGCGGAAACACAAGAGATTTTATGAGTCATTCCTTTCTTTGATTCACTATAGCCATCGGATTGCAAACGTAGAACGAGCCATACAGTTTTCGGGCAGTGTCCATGGATGACAAGATGGTGGTGACATGCCATGGGGAAAACTAAATCGGCCTCCAAAATAAACCAAAGTAGGTCTCTGAGTCCATAAGCCTTTTGAAATTCAAATTTCGATGGAATATGAACTCGACGTTTGCAAGAGCTGGTCACCTATCTCCCTCAAGTGCCACTAAGAGGCTACGTACAGTGTTTGGTATCTGGACATAGCCAGAGTGGTCAAAATATTATAAATTATAAATGAGTATATAATTTTAAATCTTTATATCAATCAAGTGCATCCTAAAAAAAAATATTAAAAATTTCTAAATTGCCCCTATTAATTGTTGAAAAGCCAAAATAAGGAAAGGCACTTTGGTAGTTTTAACTCCAATTACCATTCGGTTAGATAAAATTATCAAAGTAGTTCCAATTGTCAGGATTTCTCCAAATAGGGGCAATTGAAGAGTTTTCAAACATTTTTTAGCAAATTACATAGGAACACTCTCTCAAATGGATAGTCATTTGCCTAAAATTAAGAGCACCACCTCCTTCCCCCCTCCCCTCCCCTCCCCTCCCCTCCCCTCCCCTTACGCGGCATTCTTTTTTTTCCTTAAATTGCTATGATATCCGGCAATTCAAATACCGGACAGGAAGAGTGTTAGTTTTTAACATAAAAGAGGTGTGTGGTGTTTAAATTGCCAGACAGCTTTCTTCATTTAAGTTTTTTACTTGTTCACAAAAACAATGGTTTTTTCAATTGGAGGTTGGGATTTTGAGGGCTAGGTTTTGGACTACGATCTTGATGAAGGGGCACCCATGGTGTTTTCTGGCTATTTTTTGATGGAAAATTCGCCAAAAAAATTTGGAGAGAGGAATGGGAAGAAACTAGAATTAATGATTGGTTTTCTACAAGTTGGGGAAAAGAATGGGATTAGTGAGATTAGGGTTTTTCTTCACTGTAAAGTATTGCAGAGGCCCAGTAAGAAGCTACGATTTACTAGTTCACTTTGAATAGAGCTGATGGAAAGTTTCACTCAAGCACTCAAGGTGTATTAAGAATTGAGATCTTCTTTGGTGACCAAACAAGTTGCAGAGGAAAAGAGACAGAGCCTTCTTGTCGGGTTTATTTCACGGAAAAAGTTGCAGAGGCCCTGGAATAAACACTACTTATCGCAAAAAGGTATCCCATGTGGCTTCAAGCCGACTGAAAGTTGCAGAGGTAACTTCCACTGAACACTGGCCGGTGAGGCTTATGCAGACCAGGGTTGCAGTGGTGGGGTTTAGGACGCTCGCCTGTGGACAGGCTGGAGGAAAACCATTGCTTCTGCGATATTAGGTTCCTCGAATTATCATGAAGAGAGAGAGAACAGTCAAACTAAAAAACTTAAATGTGAAAAACTGTTGGGCAATTGAAATGTTTGACAGCTTTTTTGCTTTCAAAATTAACACTGCCCCATCTCGTATTTAAATTGCCGAACAAGAGAACACCTGAAAAAAAACCAAAAATGCCGCAAGGAAAAAAAAAGATGGGGCTCGTAATTTCAAACAAATGACTGACATTTGGTAATTGATCTCCCCCCCTTACAAAGTGTTCATACATAATTTGCTCGACTTTTTTTTTGAAGATATACCTTATCGATATAGAAAATCAAAACCAAAACCTTCAATTATAATTTGTAATTTTTTTGCCCCTTTTAATGAAATTGTAAGTAATTTCAACCCTCATATTTCATCAAATATTAAATAGTTCGAATAGGTTTTCAAAATTTCAAGTAGATAATCAATTTTCCCAATTTGAACTAGAACTTGCAGGTGACTAGTCTGGATCCCTAACTACCAACCAATTCACCCCAAAAGTCTTTATGAATTTAATATAAAAAATTAATTTGAAAGTCCTAAACCTGCTAAAATTTTTTTAATAAAAATTCAAAAATTCGAAATTACAACAAAAGAATGGGCAAAGTCAAGCTTACTAACCCCGTCGGCCATTCCGACTGTAGACCAGTGTGCAACCAGTTCAAATCACATATCCACATTTTCATAAAGGATTGTATGCTATAAAGCCATTTACTTTTGTTATATGGTCATAATTATTCTCTGCCATTAGATTTCAAATTGGATGGCTTGACGTGTCACAAAGTTCATAAGTTCTGTTTTAGACCTTCGAATCTAGTGAACACCACTCTTACAACCACTTGAATTGAAATATGATGGACAAGAATTATTAAAACCTTCCAATAGTAAATGGTAACTTTGTATACTTTTCCTTTTTAAGACACTGAACACGATGCACCTGCGTCTAGCTCACTGGTAACCCTCGAGGAGAAGCTCAAAATTGCTGTCTTAGCAGTTCATACGGTCGAGCCCTGCCCTGCATTTCCAGTAAGTTCACCATCAACTCATTTAGGCTCTCTCTCTCTCGCCAGCACATAATTTAGAGCAGCAATTCAGTTAGGGCACCTCTCTCTCTCTCTCTCTCTCTCTCTCTCTCTCTCTCCTCTCTCGTCTCGTCTACGTACGTACGTACGTACGTACGTACGTACGGTACGTACGTACGTACGTACGTACGGTACGTACGTAACGTACGTACTACGTAC